ATTTCTTCATCAAGATCACCATGAAGAAATGCTGTCTTCACATCCAACTGATCTAACTCCAATCCATACTGTGCCACCAAAGCTAGCAAAATCCGAATCGACGAATGCTTCACCACCGGAGAGAAAACCTCATTGTAATCAATACCTTCCTCCTGTGCATAGCCCTTCGCAACCAACCTAGCCTTGAACCTCACTGGAGTGCCCTCAATGCCCTCCTTCTTCGTGTACACCCACTTGCACCCAATCGCCTTCCGCCCCTTTGGAAGCTCTACAAGCTTCCATGTATCGTTCTTGTGAAGAGACTCCATCTCCTCCTGCATAGCCACCTGCCACGAATCAGCCTCCGAACTCTGCTCGGCCTCTCTAAATGTAGTAGGCACCAACTCATCGATACTCTCCATCGGAAGTGCATACACAACTGTGTCAGCATACCGTGCTGGCATCTGTATGTTTCTCCTCTGTCTCCGAACCATAATAGAATCCTGAACCTAAGCCGTCGGTTCCTGATCCTGCACATCAATACTCGTATGCTGGGAAGCTTCAAGATAGAAGCTTCATCAAACGTGACGTCCCTACTCAGCACAATCTTCTTATCAACTGGATCCCAAAGCTTGTATCCCTTGACACCACGCTTGAATCCTACAAATATGGCCTTCCTAGCTCGAGGTTCCAATTTATCAGTTCTAACATGATAATATGCAGGGCACCCGAATACCTTGAGCTGGTCATAGTCATGTGCTGGCTTTCCCGACCACATCTCCATAGGGGTTTTCCCCTCAATCGCAGATGAAGGCAGCCTATTAATGAGGTGGCTCGCATATGTAAGTGCCTCAGCCCAAAAGATCTTCTCCAAACCACTCTGCGACAATAAGCATCGGATCTTCTCCAGTAAAGACCGATTCAACCTCTCTGCCACCCCATTTTGCTGCGGTGTATGACTAACTGTGAAGTGTCTCTCTATGCCCTCGTCTCGACATAGCTGCTGAAAGGGGTCAGAAGTATACTCACCACCGTTGTCGGATCGCAACGTCTTGATCTTTCTCCCAGTCTGCAGTTCCAATCTCTTCTTCCACTCCACAAACAAATCTAGGACTTCACTCTTCTTCGTCATGGTGTACACCCAACAACGCCTAGAATAGTCATCTACAAAAGTGACGAACCAATGTCGACCACCAAGTGATGCAGTCTTGGTGGGACCCCAAACGTCTGTGTGCACGTAATCCAGGATGCCCCTCGTCTGATGAATGGCAGTCCCGAACTTCACCTTCGTCTTCTTGCCAAGAACACAGTGCTCACAGAACTCAATCTTCCCACTCTTGGCTCCCTTCAATAGCCCCTGCTTGCACAATGCCTGCAGTGACTTTTCACCTGTGTGCCCCAACCTATAGTGCCAAAGTCTGCTCATGTCCGCTTCTGAAATAGCCGAAGCAACCTGGCCAATCTCGGTGCTTCCCTTCAGATAATACAAATTCCGATTGCGGACTCCCCTCATCACCACCAATGATCCCTTAGTAACCTTCGCTACAGCATTTTCGAAAGTCACCTTGAATCCCTTCGCCTCCAAAGCTCCAACTGAGATAAGATTTTTCTTCAGTTGAGGAACAAATCTCACCTCCTTCAACTCACGGACTACTCCATCGTGCATCCTAATCCGTACGGTACCTATCCCACAAACGCCACAGGATTGATCATTTCCCATGACAACAACACCCCCATCGAGTCTCTCGAACGATGCAAACCACGCCGGAATCAAGCATCCAATCTGATGCATCCACATGGTTCACCTCCGGAGTAATCAGTAGAGAAAAGCACGAATCATCGGAATCATCGCCTTTCGCAATATTCACCTCATTGGCCTTCGGGCCCTTTTTCTTGCCATTCTCTTTCTGTTTGAGCTTCGGGCAGTCTCTCTTCCAATGTCCCTGCTCCTTGTAGAATGCACATTGGTTCTTTGCTAATTTCGGGCAGTCTCTCTTCCAATGTCCCTGCTCCTTGTAGAATGCACATTGGTTCTTTGCTAATTGGTGGTGGCCTCTAGACTTTGACCTTCCTCTATTACCACCTTTTGGATATGGGCTTCTACCTCTCGTCGACAAGGCCTCTCCTGAAGTACTAGCGCGGGAAGTCTCCTTATCCTTCCTCCTCAAATCGTAGTTTGTCAAAGCGTTAGTCACTTCACTATAGCTGATAGAAGATCTCCCGTTCAACAAAGTGAGCACGAATGTATCATACTCCTCATCCGGTAAGGAGCCCAACAAAATAATCGCCTTGTACTCATCTGATATTTTCTCATCAACATTCGCCAAGTCCGACAACAACTTCATATAGTTGTTCACATGAGCCGCTAGCGAGGTGCCTCTGGACATCTGGAATCTGAATAACCTACGCAGTAAGTGCAATCGGTTCTCAACACTCTTCGTAAGGTACTTATTGTTGAGAATTTCCTACATCTTCATCGCAGACGTCACCCCAATCACATCATACTTCAGCTCCTGTTCCAAACAGGACCTGATCACCCCACAAGCGTTCCTATTCATTTTCTCCCATACCGCCTCTTCATATTTAGGTGGCCTCTCGTGGACCATGATGGTCTCTTCCAAATTCTGAGCATTTAACGCATCCTGTACGTCGCTCATCCACAAACCAAAGTTGATTTTTCCGTCATATTTCACCACACTAATTTTGGTGTTTTGAAAACCAACTTGTATTGTACCCGCCATCGATTTGCTGCTTTCACCTTCTTCTCCCATTGCGAACTAACTCCAAATTGTAGAGAAAGAACAAATTTGATAGAATTAGGAACCACCCAACTGAACCCTAGATCGGATTCCAAATAGATCTCCTATCCACACGAGGAAAGCGAAATCTCCAACGGCAACTCCTAATGCTATCTCCACCGAAGCCGAGAACTCCAAGAACTAAGCTTCACACAAGAATCTTCCTCCACCAAAAAACCCTAGATCTGAAATCTGGGCTCTGATACCACTTGTTGCGTGCAGCGGAAATTTCGGCAGCACTTCGGCAGCACAACAAGAGTTAGGTCGCAATAAGAATTCTTGTTTCTCAAAGGGAACAAGAATCTGAAGCCTATATCCTATCAAAGTAGGATATTAGCTCTTCCTCTCGTCAGCTCTAGGACTGCGCGTCGAGGGACCCTAAAAGCTATTACAAATCACACAAAAGCAGTACAACCAATTTTAACGTGGTTCGGCAAATTGCCTACGTCCACGGGGCAAGGAGGGGGGAGATCTACTAATAGAGGGAGAGATTACAACTAGGGTTTACAATCACTCACAAACTAAACCCTCAAACAAACTCTCAAATCCCTCATACAATTATCTCTCTCAAAAGGGTGCACAAAAACCAAAGAAGGGACTGCACAAATTTTCTCCCACAGTCAGCCGCACAAAAGCACCCACAACCGTCCCTTCAATTGCACAAGTCTGCAGCCGCACAAACCAAAAAAAAAAAAACAACTCCTTGGCATGCACAAATCAATCTCCTGCGCCTCTTTGCCCTAGGAAACAAAAGCCTATATATAGGCTTTTGTTTTTCGGGTGGGCCTGGTAACTTAATTCCTGTCTTTGGGTGTTCACGAAAAACACCTCACACAATTTGCTCACGTGTGGTCCCCACACATTCACGTTCACAAAAGCCATATAATCTGCACCCTTCAATATTAAGAAAATAAACATGAGTATTGGATGTGAACATCCTAATTTTATTCTCTGCTGTAAAATACCACAAGCACTTTTTTTTGCCCCATTTTTTTTCAAATAAATGGATTGTAACAGCAAAGCTAAAAATTCAACTAATTTTAAGTATCAGATTATAACTATCCATATTTAAAAAAAATCTCATAATTATATATTTAAATAAATAAAAAAAAAACTAATGCGGAAAGTCTCTCAATATAAGATCAAGGGTCAATTTTTGAAACCCCCCTCAACTATTTTAATTTGAGAACCCCCCTCTCCTCTCCTCCTCCTCCCAAGTTTGAGCATATAATGTAGATAATCCCCTCAACTATAAAAATTTGAGATAACCCGTTGAACTTTTTACTCACTTAAACCCCCCCCCCCCCCCCCCCCCACACACCTTAATATGCAGGTGTTTCTGAGAAAACCCAACTCAACTATTTTTATTTGAGAAACCACCTTCAGGTTTAAAAATATTGTAAATAAACGCCCCTCAAGTTTAAAATTTTGAGAAAACCCCTCTTAACTATTTTAATTTGAGAAACCATCTTCATGTTTGAGCATATTGTAGATAAACCCCCTCAAGTTTGAAAATTCGAGAAATCCCTATGCACTCTTCTCACTTTTCGCTCTAAAAGCTAACATCATTAGTTCTAGCATGTCAATAATAAGTAGATGACTAAAAAAGATGAAAATACACCTCAATAATAGAAAACTAATCTGATTTTTTAAGGATAAGAGAAAGAGAGTCCAAAGAGAGGGAAAACATTGTAAATTAATCAAGATCTTTTTTACCAGATGGGGATTTATTTATAACTAGATAGATTGATTTTTAAAATGATATTTTAGTTGTTTTACATTTTGAAATAACACCAGGGATTTGGTGAGAAAAAATTAAGTGTGAAAGATTAGGAGGGTATTGTGAGACACCCCATGGTTGAGGGTGTTGCTCCAATTCTCAAAATAGAGTGAGTTTATCTATAATATGTCTAAACTTAAAGGGGCTTTCTAAAATTAAAATAGTTGCGAGGGTGATTCTGAGACATTCACTATGTAAAACTCATCCGTGCGAGCACAAGCAAAATACTTATCCTCATGCATATCTCTATATGATTTTTTAGATTTTAGCATATATGGATATAAAATTTTCTTACTCAGACAGACATATCCGTATCCTTGATTGATAATCAGATACAAGTATGATAAGTATGATAAGTATCGTATGTGATCCTATCCTAACCGTGTAGACGTTATTATAAACACTTGTACTCCTGGGGAAAAGGGTAGTCTAGGTACTTGCTCCAAATTTCGAAACAACCCTCTCTTTTTCGCCCTGCTCTCATTCTAGCCGTTGTTTCCCGACTTTCGCTCTTCTGCCACCCAGAGAAAAATCAGAGATAACTCCTCGATCCTTCTGCTGCGATTCTCCGCTCAAATTAGGGTTTCGAACAGCGATATCGTCTTCAACATTAGCGCTTGATTTTCTGGTAATGTCGTTTCTCCGAGCACTACTTCTGAACAGCGATATCGTCTTCAACATTAGCGCTTGATTTTCTGGTAATGTCGTTTCTCCGAGCACTACTTCTCTCAATCGATACGTTAGGGTTTCAATCTTCTTGATTTTCTGGTAATGTCGTTTCTCCGAGCACTACTTCTCTCAATCGATACGTTAGGGTTTCAATCTTTAAATTAGGGTTTCGAACAGCGATAGGAATCTTCAACATTAGCGCTTGATTTTCTGGTAATGTCGTTTATCCGAGCACTACTTCTCTCAATCGATACTTTAGGGTTTCAATCTTGTTCTTTTTCTTGTTCTTGTTCTTGTTCTTTTTCTTTTTTTTCCTTTTACTGTAGATCAAAGAAATTTGTTAATTTTTTGATAGGGTTACTGAATCCTTCGAAATTTCTTTATAATTTTTGAATTCGTGCATCCAAAAAAATATGGGTTGCTCTGTTAAAATTTGAGACTTTGGAGGGGAGATTATTTTATTTTTTTCAATAAATTTTCCTGTTAAATTGCAATAGATGGTCAAAATTCTCTCAAAATTTCATATTGGATTGTCTGAAAATTAAAATAATCTTAGAGGAACAACTTTTTCCTTTTAAATTGCTATAAATTGTTCTTTTTCTCAAGTTCACTAGTCGTTTATACTCACTTTTTTGGTGTTTTGTAGTCATAACTGAGTTATTCCGATTCTTTTTCCCTGAAATCCCTTTGTTATTTTATTTTATTTTATTGCAATAACAGAGATGGCTTCACTAACTCCGGCTGTTCTTCAAAACGAGAATCTACACATCCATAGAGGTATCATCCGGTTTTCTGACATTTTATGATTGCATTTAAATCAATAATTTAATGATTTATAGATGATTGTGACCGATATCAAGCTGTGTTACAGGAAAAAGTTTGGAGGGGGGTAAGACCGGTGCTCTTCAAAACGAGAACCTACACGTTCATAGAGGTATTCATTGTCCTCCACTACATAAATCTGGCATATGATGGTTTATTAGACACTACTACTGACTTTCAAGTTATGTAACAGGAAAGGGCGTCGAGGGTTTGAAGCATGAACTGCCGAAGCCTGTGAAGAATCGTCAAGAACGAAAAGCGCTGAGGGATTTGTCACAGGCTCCGAAGCCATTGCATCCTGCTCTAAAAGAGAAATCTGGGCTAACTATTCTAAAAGACAAAGCCCCCACTCGGGAGACTGCCAAGAAGGCACCAAAGAGAAATATTCTGACTGATGAGGAGATAGCAAGGTGCCAAGAATGGGCTAAGGAGGGAATTGAGCATATGCATTTTTCAGGAAATGACATGCGAAAGCTTGAGGCCCAACAGCAAGAAGAACGTAATTCTTCATCCACCATACCTTTTCTTTTGCTAGTTAGTCTATATATTCTCTTTTACCTACACTGTTTACCTGTTTATTTATCTGCTAATCAAAGGGTACCTTCGTAATGAATTAGGTGTAAGGAAGAAAGTCGATAAGGCAATGGCTGGTTTGCGTGCGTGGACAGATATGACCTTTGGGCTAGAAATTCCGGTTAAGGTAATCAATTTTGCAATGAAAGATTTAATTAAGCAATCCCTAGGAATTGATTTGTCTGTTTCCAATATCTACAGAATAGATCCTCGTAAATGATCGATATCAAACCTGTTATACTTCAAACATGTCTTGAGCCTCTTTTTGGCAGATAGTGAGAACTTCCCAATGTCAATTCCATTTTTGAAAGAATATGCAAAAATGCTCAGTTTAGTCAACTATATACTTCATTCTTTTCAAAAGGAAATGTTGTTACTTAATGCCTGCACAAATGGATCCTCTCACCTCCTGATGGAAGGATAAAGATGGGCATCCAATAAGTAGGATGATGAAGTAGATACAATCATTTGACTTTAAATATAAAAGTGCATTTAAAGGGTTTATTTCATAGGTTTCCCTTTTATTTTTTTTATCTTGCATGGATACTTTGATATTGGTGATGTGTCCATACCCGAAGTGTATTCGGTACTTGGGTCCTCGGATACGTGATGGATGCTCATTAGACACTTCGAAGATTATTTACAATTTATTAGGTCTTTTGAACATACCACAGATGAATAAGATTTGTTTCCATGATTTTGAGAAGGAGATCTAGTGCAATTCCATTTGCATTGTTGATGTGTTTATTTAATTTTCCACTCTCTTAACTGAGAACTATTATTTTTAACTAGTGGTTTATCTACGTGGTGTCCATACTTTGTATTCTTGGAATTTTCCATAACCACGAATCTATGCCATGCTGTCATTCTATCGCATACCCTTAAAGTCTATGCTTATTGTTAGAGATCATTATACTAGGATATGACTTGAAGAGAATGAACTTTATTCCTTTGCTTTTTTGGAGAGTGTACCGATTTATTAAAAAGAGGATATATACAAGGTATAAATTTAATTGTAGGATGAAGTGAAGCAAGAAATAGATCAAGAGATGGTGGATGGAGCAGCAGAATTGTAATGGAGGAGAACCAGCAGAATTTTAATGTAACCGGTTGGTCTAAAAGTGGATTGCTGTGATACTTGCGTATTGGCTGCCCGTACCCACAAATAGCAACCAACAATGAGGTGATGCAGTCAGGTGGTTGATCTTAGGATTAGAGACTTTCTTTTGACATTCAATCTAGAGCAACCATTACTATGAGTGCTCTATGGAAATGATATCAATGTTTGTTTGGGGAACTTCAAATCCATATGTACTCTAAAGGTCCAAAATGGATGATTGCAAACTGAAGTAGAGAAGTCCTAGAGTATTTGCTCCATATGCTGTGGAGAAAGTATGGTTAGGGGGAAAAATTGTGGCATACTTGATTCCATCACATCTTTGCAGAAGACGAGTTTGTAATCTTTAGCCAATGATCTTATGATAAGGTTGTTGCTTGTCAACATTTGTTATTAAGGGTAAGCCACATGCAGGTGCGATGTTTAAGAGGCATATGTATATTCCAAATGTGATGAAAGGGTTAGAAGGAATCAAACACTGGCCCCCGTGGCTGCGGAGAAAGAATGAACTTTGAATATATCTGAATTCTGAGCAGTTGAATCTCCAGGATTGTTCATTAAAATATTGGATGATCACTCTCTAAAGTAGGTCAAGGAGTGCGTAGATGTCATGAATGATTAAATGGAGAAGAATAAAAACCAAATGACTTGTATAATCGTAATAACAGTAAATTCTTTATGCAGATTGTAGTTGCCCTCAAACACATGGAATTGGATGAGGAAACCATAGCATCGGTTATTAGGTTATTATCACGAGTAATGTGGCAGCTGAGTTGCTCAGGTGTCTCTGATGACTCAATCCTTCCAGCCTTCTGATTTTTATTGTGTATTATTTGCATCTTCCTACTTAACCAGCCCTTTCATGGATTTCACAAAAAGGCGCGTGTTCTGCTCAAGGTCTATCCAATCCTGTCTTATTTCTTTTTACATAGAGCCTCCAGTTGTGCCAGTTCATTTTTGAGTTAATGATGTAAGAAAGATGGTATCTACTAAAGCTTACAATTTATGCTGTTGATAACTTCTCTAGCATTTATTATTCACTTTTTATCTGTAACCTCTTTCTTGTGTTGTTTGACGATTCTATAGATGTTACATAGATAATATACTTTATTACTTTATATGTCGGTGGCTACAGGCCTTAGGAAGTGAAGATCTACGTGGTTATTTAACTGTCTGTACTTTCTGCTTCTCATACAGGAAATTCCATCGGACACTGAAGATAGCTTGAAGTTGGAGTTTGAGGAAGAGGTGCTTCCTCCTAGTCCCAGAGTCAATGCTCACTCAAAGTCAGGTATCTTTCTGGCCCATTATTAACAGGTTGCTGAGTTGACTACATTCATATCACTCTCTATGAGTTTTCATTTTCTTCTCCATTGTTGCACTTGTATTATAGTCTTCATATTCTTAACAGTGGCAAACCAAGCCACATAGAATTGATGCAATTAGTCAAACATTTGGGATTAAAAGAGCATCATCAACATTTTCAGGTTATGAGAATATTGAGGACCTCTTTGAACTCGACGACTCCCTGTACTTTGACCAGCAATTCGAGCTCAAGCTGAAGGAAGAAGGATGCGAGTGATGTTGCTTGCTTTTAAACGAGTTCTGATTATGTTGTGTAAGTTTTAAGTCCAGGTACTGTAGCAGATCAGAGTGGTCGCATGTTGTTAATCCGCTTGTTTTAGTTATTTACCTTTTAGACACTTTGCAGGCATGGGTTAGTTCGTTATGATGCTAACTTGTGTGACAACTTGTTTGCTGCTATTAACTGATGAGCGTGCGTTGCTTTGTTCAGCTAATCAATTTCTGTTCATATTGACTTCCAGTTTATGCTCAGAATGAGTCCCTCTGAAGTAAGAAGAACCATTATTATGTTTTTTAGTATTGGTGAAGGGTATAAAAATGGATCATTAGATTTCGATATTCGCGTATAGATCAAAAAAGTGATATTCTTTGTGCGCACATTTGTTGCTAGAGGCAGTCTTGGCAAGATATTTTCTCCTATTCATAAAAACTTTATCATTCACTGTTTTCAAGGGGTAGCGTTTTTTTTTTTTTTTGGGGTAGAGAGCTCAGACCCATGTGGCCCTACTTGACCCTTCAAAAATCGAAAAACTTTTCCATGGCATATAATAACCAACAGCATGGCCACTAAAATGCCCTCAAAGTCTCACCCATGCTCTCCTAAAATAGTGGCTCATTTCATTTAATCATCACACAGTCTCAATGCATACACATCTTCCATGTGAAGTAAATTCAACTCACTCAACGTCATCACATATCCCATGGTCTCAGATAAATCTTTAAACTATCTACATTCTCAGCCACCAGCCTTGGAATATGATCACAATCTCATTGGATTCATTGCATCACCAGAATCTCTCACCTCAACATATTCCCCAAGAGACAAAGCGGTGACCCCTCACGGCTCAATAAATAGCTTTCTCCATGAGCTAGATTTACCTCCAAAGACAAAGCATTATAGCATGGGTGGTATTCTTCTTGCCATGCAACAACAACAGGAGCTGTGTCTTGCACTGGGGATTGCTATACTTGGATTTTGGTACTTGATGTTGGAAGTTGTTGAGGTTTTTGGTAGAAGAAGCGCGGTGATCTCTCTCTCCGATTGCTGTTTTTATCCAAGCCACACCGATGTCACTGCCATTGCTGCCGTTGGCTCGGATAATTGTAAGAAAAAGTTTGAGGTCGAAGGTGGATGGTGAAGAAATTAATACATTTATAGGCTAAGCTCGAGGGATCGATTTTTTTTGCCATCGCTTGATTAGCTATTTGGTTGTTGTTTTGATCAAGTTTGTTATTGAAATCGGTTGGGTGTCTTGGATTCTTTTGTAAGGGTGGTGCCTATATATAACCAATGCCAAGGATTTGGAGTTCATGTTTATTGAATCTACGCGTGATGGATGCGTTCCCACTTCTCCATTTATTGTTTGGTTGTTCAATAGTAAAGAATTATGCGTGTCATTATCTGTCCTATTTATATGAACTATTTACAACTCATCTTCAAATATGTATCCTCTTCACCAACAACAATATTTACAACTCAACTTCAAGTATATTGTGATGGGCAGAAATCATAAGATACAGTACGCAGGAAATCAACCTTCGAGATCTTTTACACTGAAAGTTTCCGCTGAAACCGGTCAATTGTAAACCAGTAAACTAAAAGAATAAAGAACGATTCCAGCTAGAGCCAATATGACCACGAGGAAGCTAAGTCTCTCTCAAATCTGAGGTCATAGTGCCAACAGTCTGATAGAAACTGGACAGGCTATATAAAGCACAAACACAGCAATTAATTTAAATGAACAGTCAAAGATGATACTTCATCATATCATAAATTTGAACTTACCAACTTCCTTTCTAATGTCATTACAAGATTTATATATCCTTGTGCACAACATTTACTTTTCTCCAAGCAAAGAAGAATTTTTCCTTCTGACCGAGAACTACCTATCGATCAAGACCGAGAACTACCTATCGATCAAGACCGATCTTTCTTCTTCTTCTTACTTGTACAAAATCTGAGACTGGGTAGCGATAAACTTGGGAATCAAGTCTTCAAGCAAGTTGTGGACATGCGCTTGTTTTAACCATCTATCAGAAGCTTGAACTTGTTTAAATAACTTCCCTCACAAATCTGTCCTCCATGGAGAAGGGGGTACAACTTACTTTTGCAGGGTTATTGAGGATCATATCACCCACCATTTCTGCGGTGCCCAAAGCCTGAAATAAGGTAATGAGAAAATATCACTTTTCCTTTCAAAAACATATTAAGATGCACATGCCATTGCAGTATAAAAAGGTTTCTCGAAACTAAATACAAAGCAGAACAAATTACACGAAGTGAAACAAAACACTTTAAAAGATGATATAATACTAGTGCAGAACCTAGACGAACAAACTTTACAACCAAATCAACCCATCAATGATCGCCAAGGAAATGAAAACAACAGGGCTTTGATTTTTCAGAAACAACAAAACAAGGAGACACATACAACACCACACAATATAATAACATAATAATAATGATAAAAATAAAGCAAATAAAATAAAACATGCACACACACGCACCCCTCGCACCCCTTCCAAAAGAACAAATGAAAAAAGGAAAAGAAAAAGGTAAAACACCATGAAAAATAAAAATAACTGAAAATTGGAAGGGAAGGCAACCCTCAAGCTACTTCGTAGATAAAATATCCTTCCAATATAATTTCATTTCCAATAAGAAAAAAAATAAGAATAAATCTAAATAGCAACATACGTAACTATGAAAAACAACAGCTTTTTCGAAAAGAAATGCAAGAACTGCATTACATATTGGTGGATATGTTAATAATATACTGCACATTTACAGTTAATTATAAGAGCAAAACTCTAACTCAATTTTGAACCAATAACCAGATCTCCGTTACAAATCAAAACCTAGACAGAAATCATGCACAGAAAAGCCAGATAAATGGAGATCGCATGTCTTAATGCCCACTAGACCTTTCATCATAAAATGATAAGAGATAGTTTTGCTGCTGTTCTTCTGGAGAGTCTACCATTTGAGCTTTCATACAATGAAAAAAAAAAGAGAAAATAGAGTTACAAGAAAAATGAATGGCATAACAAGTCCAGGCTCTGGTGGTTTTGGACACTAATATTCTTGCATCCATCACAAGTTCTGTCAAAACATTTACCGACCGTCAGCTTAACTCAGTGGTATTACTATAAGGACCAATCGTTCACGTGAATAAAGAAAACAAATAAAAAATAACTTCCAAAAAGAAGACACATTTTTAGTTGAACTTAGGTTCTACTAAAATATATATGTACCAGATCATAACAGTGGAAAAGTATCAAATTAGCAGTTCAGAATTCAAGTCTAAAGCATTAATTAAACTGAAATTTACCATGCAAATTCCCTTTCCTTCATGTCCCGCTGCAAGGAAAACATTCGGCAATCCTGGGACAGGTCCAATGACAGGCTTACCATCTGGCACTGAAATTTCAATCATTAGAAAATCAATTAGTTTTAAGGACTTAAAAGTTGCTGGATAATGAAATTGGCGTACACAAAATTTCTAAGACTAGTGTAGAGAACTTAAAGCTTACTGTAAGGGCGGTGGCCTATCCTTATCTGACTTAGGTTGAAGGACAAAGCTCTTATGGCAGGCAAAAAATCTCCAGCACAATCTATTATTCGCTTGATAATAGTTTCGTCTACTTCTCTATTGAATCCAACAAACTGACGACTACTCCCTGAAAAAACATTCATGGTAGTTGAATAAGTAGTAACATAAGATTAGTTGGAGTACCTAGGATCATTGTTTTAAATATCCCCGACATGACCCGATATATCCCCCGATATATCCTTTTACAAGGCTTGCCGCAACCGATATGGTCTTTAAATATCCTTTACCGCTTTTTGGCTATTTTGAGTGATAAATCCCCGATATGGCCGATATATTAGCCGATATGTGGACCAATATATCTTTTTATATAGCTTGTTGCAAAATAATATACCGCGTTTGGAATTTTTGGGCAATATACCGCGTTTGGAATTTTTGGGCGAGATATCAAGATTTCCCCATTATATCAAATGACATTTTGCCATAAAAAAAGAAGATCGAATGTTGCAACGTTGCTTTGCACTTTTGTTTATTTTAGAAGGTTGATTAGTGATCCTAAACATATATTATTCATATTTTGTATGCTTAAATTTCATTACATATATTGAGATTACATTTTAATGCATTATACTATATATGCAAACATTCATTATGGCATTCCGATATTTACCACATATCCCCGATATTTCCCCGATATCCGCAATCCGATATGAATTTTGGTCATCCGATATTTCCCCGATATCCGATATTTAAAACCTTGCCTAGGATTAGGAATGAACACAAATATTTGGGATCAAGGGATTGTGATGCTGCTCATAGTGTAGATGAAGGATACTTCGGTGGATAATGAACCATAGGTTATCATATAATTTGCTTCGGCAGGAATAACAGTTTTAGATCAACCAATTAGACAGATTATCAACTTGGATGACTACTTTGTCAATTGTGAAGGAAGCATTCAGATATTGCACATTTGAGCAAATTAACTCAACTATTTATAATTCACTCACTACCATATTGGCACCGTCCTCGTTGCATAACAGAGAAAGTAAAACAATAAAGGGAAAAGCTAAACACCAGGAAAAAAAGTATATATACATAAGTAGCAGTCAAGCTTTCACTATATTTCCATCATAAGGAGGCAAACTTCATACTAGTCATACTTAGTGCTTCAAGACAATTAAACATAACTGACATGAAGTGATGGTACAATTACCCAGAACAAGATTACATATCCATAAGTAGCAGTCAAGCTTTCATTATATTTCCATCATAAGGAGGCAAAACTTCATACTAATCATACTTAGTACTTCAAGACAATTAAACATAACTGACATGAAGCGATGGTACAATTACCCAGAACAAGATTGCCCATGATATCTGTTGAAGCTAGCATTGAAATAGATAACAAGTCATCATCAACACATGAAGGTGAATTAGCAACTTTATGGCTAAGATAGCCGAACTCCATCAGCCCATGGTTCAGATGAATTTTGTTGAAATTTTCCAATACTAGAAGATGGCCCTAGTGATACAAAAGAGAGAGTTGAGTAAAGAATTAGTGCATATAGACACATTTGGAGGAAAGGAAATCCTGTCAGCGTAAAAAGCCCAAGTGTTTGCTGAGAATATTACTAAATCAAGCCCCTAACACTGTACCAGGGGAAAAAAGCCTGACATGAGTATAAGAAAAACTTTATGCAGTACAACAAGGAAGTTACGTATAAGGACTAGTCAAAAGAAACAATCCATGTCACTGTTATCAATGATTATACTTATTTGCATAAAAATGACTATAAACATAAAAATAAATAAAGTTAAACTTGCATTATCTTTTATGTGACTTCATCACCTTTTTAGGGGAAATTAAAATTGCATTAAATCCTATATGTGACAACTTTCTTGCATTTTACTTTCACAACCCCTTAAATGCTAACAAACACCTATATGTTAAAAGAAAGTCACGTTCTCACTTTTACCTTTCACTTGCACGCAAATAAGCACCCCCTTAGTTAATTTGGGGAGAGAGAAACAAAGAGCAAATAAAGTGCTCTACGCAACAAATATCACCCTCGATTCAGCTTTTCTCCCCCTCAATCATTATCCACAGAAGCATTATTTTTCTTTTTAAGGCTAATGTAAAGTCTTCTTGTTGTTTGTGGAAATAGATTTACAAGGTCTACACATATCACCGATTGAATTGGACACAAACAAAATAGTACCCCACTAAAGAGTTACAAGGAGGGAACTCAACCTCCTCTCCCTCCGGACACTGTTATAAATGACTATATACTCCAAGTTTCTTATATTTATATTCAGGTTTATTAGGTGGATCATGTCAAAAAATAAATAAAGTAATCTTCCGTACTCTCACAAAAGAATTTTCATCAACCCCTCCCTAAGATTAGTGAATCTTGTAAATAAAAAGGTATAACTACATCAGACTTCTAATAATCTATGAGGATTCAGTTTATCGTTTATCATTCAAACAAAATCATACAATCATCTAAATATTCTACAGTCAACAATATTCCACTTATCTTGGCACCAGGCTAGGGTTCTGCATTCAGTGTGGATTCACTAACAATAGAGACGCTTACAGTTGCCAAACAGTAACAATTTTCTAGCAAGTGGTTTATGAATAAAACGCCTACAGGATCCAATCAATCGCAAGAAATTAAAATTTGTAACATGCATTTGCAATTCCATCATTCTCAACTTCATAGATTCCAGAAACTCCAGAGAACAGTTTGGATAAGGAAATGAATGAGGCCTAAACAGAAAGGAAAATTCAGCCAAAAAAAAAAAGAAAAGAAAAAAAGAAAAGAAAAGAAAAGAAAAGGCGGACTTGAGGATGTGTGCAAGCATGTATTGCAACATGAAACACAAGATCTGTGTTCTGTTACTTCTGTATGAAGCCATGTTACTGCATCTTCTCAGCTTATAATGCATGAGCTTATAGCCGGCAAGCAGCACAAAGGAAAGAAAGTAGGGAAGAAGGTTGGGATCACTTGGTGATCCAATGAACCTTTTAGTAAAAGACTTAAAAGACTCCTAGAGAGACTCACTGTGCCAATTAACCATTATTATGACTTGATATAAGCAACTAAACGATGAAATATACCTTACAAATGTATAAGACAAAACATGGCAGTTGAAGAAGTTTAAAGCGTCTTGGTTACACAACGTGAAGCCCAGAACATAGAACAACTGCATATAGTTTGCGGGTAAGGAGAGAGATTCACCCATTAAAGAGGTATCCACCCAAATGCTACAGTTGAAGTTAGCATTTTTAGAGTTGGATCAAAATTTTTGCTACCAAGAACCGGCTAGGTTTATTAACCTTAGCTAGACTCACCACGTCAAAGTGAATATTTAATAATCAAAGGCGTCATTCCATGAGTACCCACTCGAAGGGTGTACTTCCTAAAAAAATGAGGCCAACAAAACAGATAACTGATTACTTGACATCACATGGTAGTTTCATAAATAAATTAAAAAAAAAACTAAAATAACCAATTCATAGACGCTTTTCGCATCTTAAGTTCAGCTATAGATTGGATAATTCTTTCAATTACATTCAGCAATATGTCAAGTGTTGAACTGGAACCTTTCGCGGCTTCACAGGCACACTCAGAACAGCATCAGGGTCGATGGCAATGCTTTGCATGAGGGAGCCTGTCCAAGCACCTGCTGCGACCACCAATGCCTGCTTACAGTAGAGAGAATTTTGTGTAGTTTGAATACCTTCAACTGGTCCATTCTTCTCAGATCTGCACAGTATCATAAATTTGAAATTGCAAGAATAATCCTATCTTTGAACTGAGAAGTCCCTTTAAAAATATACAGTGTTACTTTAAAGACGACCTTATTATGTTAATTGCAGGGTTATTATAGAGCTCAGTATATCTTCCTTCAGAAGCAAAACACCTATTATCCTAGAAAATATGCAGAATTTCAGTAACTAGGAATATGCAAATACAGAACCATTACCAACAATAAGATTCTTCCAGATGACAGGAAGGACACACCTTTTCTATGAATGCAACAGTTCGAAGGGCATCCAACTGGCAGTCATCTGGAAAAAATGCAGCACCACATTTCCCTCTTACTTCAAGGGCCGGTTCCTTTGAGAGCAAAGAAGTAGAAGACAAGTATTCTGCTCTGACTCCAGCTTTAGATAAAAGCTTGACCCTTTCCTCCAGCAGTGCTACTTCTTCTGAAGTTCTACCAATTAACAAGCTTCCTAGTAATAGAATGTCATATAAGTGGTTCATGTTTGATCAGTTCATGTTTGATCTAAGAAAACTATGTAAACTATCTCCTGACTCCAGCTTTAGATAAATCTAGGCGTGAAAAGCAAAAAAAAAAAAAAAAGGAACTGTACTGACTAGTTCAGGCATGTGCATAAATTGTAGAATTAAAGTATAGACTGTAAAAAATCCTAAACAACGTAAGATTTTTTTTCCTGTGTGTATGGAGGAAAGGAAGAATGAACCAAGAGTGTGCTCCTATCTGAGATTTCATGTTCATATTGGATATCTTAAGTCATATCAGAACTCAATGGTCAATCTATCGGTAGATAAGATGCTGACGTTTTGGATGGGTCAAGTCATTCTTGTGAACAAGCACGCCCTCTACATGCCTAAGGATGGATCAAGCCAATTTTGGCTGTATGGGATCCACTAAAGGATGATGCAAGAGATTGTCTCTCTCATATCCAGAATGAAATATTTCCCCCATGAATGCATAAAATGGGATAAAAAGAAGTGTGAGAATAAATAGTCTCATTTATCTTTGCAAGAAAATGCTTGAAAACCTCCGGTGAAAACAAAAAACTGAGTCTCCATTCTAAATAGGAATCCCAAATCTGCATCAACTGATCCCAAATCAGTATGGAACTTAAAAGATATAGTACCTGTTTTCTTCCAGCCAAACTCTTCAAGAGGATTCAATCCATGGCGTTCTATGCTCTCTGCCAGCTCTTCCCACAGCTACTTGCTTCTCATTGAAAGCTCCCACGTATCACTTCCAGGGGTCAAATCTCCTACCCAAATTAATCCTTGTGCTGATTCATGAGAAAACATCTTAAGATATCAATCATACTATAAATATAGCTAGCAAAAGATCCTAGAACAAATGTATGAAATAAAAAGAAACCAGCATATAGAAGTATGGCAAGGGAGAAGATAAAAAAAACAACTTTCAAGCATCCAGCAGACTATGAAGAAAGAACCATCAAATGAAAAAAGAAGCAATTAATCGGTCATACAAGCAAACTAGAATTAAAAATCTGATCAAGGAATATATAACTGAAGCTTAGCTTCAATCACTTAACGAAATAAAAATCCCAAATAAACATTATAGGAATTTTTTTTTTGACAAACGCAATCTTCACAATTAAGGGCTGCAACAGACTCAAAAGCTGGTTACCTACCGTTGCCCAGTAACTGAAAAGGCCAAACTCAAACAATATTATCATCCGCTACAAATGAACTAGCTACAGCAGGGCCAGGCTCAACCCGCTAAGAGGATCAGGCTTGACTTAAGAGGATTGATTCTCTAGAAGAGACTTGGGGTATCGTACAAGTTCTTATTTTTCTTATTTTTGATACTTTAGCTTTAAAACTGCATGGCACTGATGGTTTAAGTCCACCTTAAAACCCTTTGTCATCTCTTCACAGAGATTATGCTGGTGGGTGATAGTTTTCATATTACTACTCAATATGTTATGTGTGCAAGTATCCAAATATCTAATTGTACCTTAAAAAATGTCATTTGCACTTTGATACCTGAAGCTTCACCCTTATTTTTAACTTTGATGCGCTGCTCTGACAGTTTGATACCCCCAAAGCCCTATCTTTGTTCCTAAACTTTCACCAAACTCAAAAAACTGAAATTTGGTAAGAGAGTCGTTTCTCGTTCACTTTTGTATGTTTGATATTCCCGAACAAATTAACATCGAGTTTTCTTTTGCACTTTGATCTATCAATTGTCAAAATAGAACTTTAGTCCGTCAGTTAAAACAAAGGGAGAGATTTCGGGCTATTAAAGTAGAAATATAATTCTTTTAAAAAATGGAAATATTAAAAAAAAATCGGGAAATTGTTTTCACCGACTGCTGCTTCTCTCCACCAAATCTAACACACATGATCGAACTTTTTTTAAACGTTGACATCACTTTCATGCCATCCACGAACGAAGTAGCCAAGAAGTAATAAACCATAAAATAAACACAAGAAAGAAAAGGAACAAGGAAAAAAAAAATCAAGAACTCAAGCGCTAGGGAGCTCACCAGCACCGGTGGCTCGGTGGGAGGCCGGAGCCAGGGACGGAAGGCGTCGACGAGAAGCGACGGAGAGGTCGGAGTGGAGGAAGGAGGTGCGGGCAGACGGAGAGGCGATGAATCCCGCCGCCGACGGATGACACGTCGTGGGCTCGCGGAGAGCGTGGACGGCCAACGGTCGCCGCTGCAGCTGAGACTGAGGTACGATACTCAGAGATGGAGCTGAGTTATAGGGGAGGAGATGTGAAGATCTGAGAGAGGAGCGAAGAATATTTTTGAGAGTGATGGAGATTGAGGACTTCATTTTTGCTTCGTCTCCCTGAGAAGAGTGAGAGGGCTGTGATCTCGATGCTCAAAAGGTGAAGGTTGCTCCTCCCAAATTAGGACAAATTTTCAATAAGAGCGACGCTACGGCCACACACACCCCGCCACAGCCACCGGACAACGCCTGCTAGCAGTGAGGGGCCCACTTCAAGATTTCAAAAAAAAAACTGAAGTGGGCCTCCTGCACTGTAGGGCAGGGGTGTTAGCGGTGGTGTGGCGGGGTGATGTGCCCGTAGCCATTTTTTTTTTTCAATAAACCGGGACCACATATACAAAATTGATTCAAAAAAAACGACGTATTCTTAAAAAGAGAGCACTAGGGGCACACACTTGGGACCACTCCCACACCACACCCCCTCACACTGCTACAAGTGCAGGGTTCCCACTTGAGATTTTTAAATGCTCAGTGGACCGCCTGCACTGTAGCAGGTGAGGGGTGTGGTTGGGAGTGTGTCCCAAGGTGTGTCCCTAGTGTTTTTTTTCTAAAAATAATTATCAAAACTAAACCAGTTTTCAGTCAGATCGACCTAATTTCAACGATCTGACTGAAACTGGGTCGGTTTTGACAGAAAAAACTTTAAAATTTTATGGGACTTGAAATCCCGTGAAGTTTAGCAACCATTTAATTAAGCTGCATAACTTCATGGGACTTGAAGTCCCATGAAGTTTGAGCCGAATTTTCAGCCTCTGGAAATTCAGCTTGTAACTTCAAGGGACTTCAAGTCCCGTGAAGCTGCAGGTTTTAAAAAACATGCACAGCCTGTTGTGCATGTTTTTTATATACACGACGATACACTTGTGAATCAAACAATACTCACCAAATTTCAGTCGTGAATCAAATAATACTCACGAAAATACACTTGTGAACAACAATCGATCACATATATACTGAATTACAACAATATTCTTAAAATTCAGCCATGAATCAAACACGAATCAAACAATACTCACGAAAATCACATATATGAACTTAATCCTCAACAAAAGTATATTTTTTGAAAATTCATAAAAATAATAAATTTCAACAAAATAAAATCATATACAACCCAAAATTCCTCCTCTCCCTCTCTTCCCCCTTCCCCTCGCTTTCCCCCCTGCGTTCCTGCTAAGCCTCGATGATCCGAGTATCTGGTTGTGTATGAGACTGAGAAGTACCGGCTCCATCAGCATGCGCCGTGCTATGAGAAGTGCCGGCTCCATCGTCACTTGACCTACATCGTCGTGTGTACATTTGCCCAAATGATCGAGATCTGTCCTCACGGCCTGCAAACTTGTCGACATGAGTCTTATGAAACACGCTTGCTATTCTCTGTTTGATCCTGTTGAAGAGCCCTACGGCCGTCGGATCCTGGATGTCACTGATGTGCTCATCTATATCAGCTTCAATATCATCAAAAGCTTTGATGTGCGAGTTAATAAATATATACACAATTTAGCAAATAATATCTTAATAAAAAATTGCCGTTTTAATTTAGCTTAGAAACTTATATAATCTCTCTCGAGCATGGAACTAGGGATGTAACTATCTGTCGGTGGGCGTGACAGATATCCAGCTGATGGCTGTGGGTCGCGTGTGATCCATCTACATGTGATATCCCAATACCAACGCATATACGTGGTATAATCAACAGTTATATCTCTCTCATCATGTATGAAATCACACCTATTAATCCACCTGTCTATGTAGGTTGCACGGAATACGCCCTAGTCTGTATGATGCGATGTAGGTCGTCAACTACAATTGATTTGCCCGACAAGATCTGACACATGCTGAGAGCGCAGAAATTATCGTAACACACAGTCGGGGACATGCATCTCCACAATCTCCCAACATATCAAAGGAACTCTGGCTCTCCACAATCTCGACAAATAGGTGCAAGAGTATGCATATCGAGCTCTGACGGTAAATAGGGGCTCCACTTGAACTAAAATAAGATAAAACATTTATCAGTATCAACAACAAAACTAAAATATTCATAATGAACTGAGTTTTTATATTTACCTGTTGGCGTTGGAGGCCATCAAGCTCATTTCGGTAAAACTCTATATGTCACGTCGCTGATTTGTACTTAGTGTACCGCATGTTAAACTTATTTGGCATAAAGAATATATGATTACAAATTCAATACGAATAAAATTGTGTGGACAATTATACCTGTATGTCAAAGGAAACTGGCCCTGTAGGTCGCGGTGCACAAGCAAAGTAGGTCGTCCAATATGAATGCGTTCCCATGACCAAATCTGTATCAATGTGCATCATCCCTTGAATTCTTTATTCTGCATCAATGAGACCCTACCTAGTTCTCTATATAAGTATGCCAACACCGCACTACCCCATGATAGACTGCCGCATACACCAAAATCCTCTAGGAGTGGCAGCCATCGTGCATGTACAAAAATTTTTCTCACATCAGGAAATAGCATGCACCATATCATGTGTATATTACACGCACGAGCATGATACTGAAGCGTCTCAACGGTGGTATCAGCTAGTATATCTCCCACAAATGTTTTACAAAGCCATGATACCTTCATCGCACCACTCCTCAAGTTGGGAACCTAACCAACAAGCCCATCACATACTTCAGGCCAATTATGGTCATCGGTGCCCATAACTATCGGGCCATCAATGCGGAGCCCAAGTATGACAGCTACGTCATGCAATGTCATAGTACACCCCCCTATATGCATATGAAAGGTGTTGGTCTCCAACCTCCACCTCTCAATCAATGCACGGATAAGGGATCAGTCAAGCCTAATATACCTCACTGCTGAACACTCCCGGAACCCAGCTTGAGCTATCAAGTCTAGTACCCTCTCATCCTTAATGACCTAACCCGAATGACTCTGTGAATGATCGACCATGGTGTGTAAGCAATAAAAATTGCCTTTAATCCTTATCAGAGAAGTTCAGAACAAAACTGCTAAAAACTCGCCCGAAATAGCAGAAAAAGGGGAAAACGCAGATATCTCCCAAACCGTAAGGAATTTGGCGAAACGGAGGAAGCGAACCAAAGCCTTTGGCTTGGTTCGGATGGCTCCATCTCGTCGAGATAGGCGATTTTCATATATAATTCGTCCAATTCCGACTTACGGTTTGAAAGTTACGATATATTCTTCAATCCATGCTCAGGAGCTCGCCTGCAGCTCAAATTCGCCTGCAGTCCCAAATCCGCCTGCAGACCCAAGTCTGCCTGCGCACCTGAGCTCGCCTGCAAACCCAGTTCGCCTGCTAGCTCGCCTGCAGACCCAAGTCCGCCTGCAGTCCCAAACTCACCTGCAGACCCAGTTCGCCTGCAAGCTCGCCTGCAGACCCAAGTCTGCCTGCAGTCCTAAGCTCGCCTGCAGACCCAAGCTGCAGACTCGCCAGCTCACTGTCAACTGCCCACTTGGAGTATGGGAACAGTTACATCAGTGGTCAAATCCCACAAATCAAGGGAGAGGGCACAATACTCCAGGCCCGCCAGATGGCCGTCCATAGTACGAATGAGCGGACAGGCACCAAAACAGCCTGCACCCTCATAAATGCGGCTCACCTCAGTTGTCCAGGCGAAGGGACGAGAGCCGCCAACGCTCGGTGGTTGGTCAGATCCACGCAAGCATCTGACAGCCGTTGTCACGCATACGAGGAGGGCCTTTCCCACTCCTATGTAGCGTGATGCAGAGCACAGCTCTTCGAATGACCATTGACGGTACGAATGAACAGCAGGACGTCTCCGAACAACGTGTGGTCACATCCCATAATTCAAGGAGCAGTCAAGCTATCTCCCTCACCTCTATTAGTGGTCAAATCCCATGAATCAAGGGATAGCCCATGCCATCCCTTGCCTGTTAAAACCCATCTTCAGCAGCATGAAGAAGGGAGATGGGCCGTTGCATATTCGGCTGGCTAATCTCCCAAAGGTTGAACCTGGACCTTTGCCAAAGGCTCCCTCGTTTGAGAACCGAAGCTCCGGCAGCAACTTCGATCGGATCGTCCAAGGGAAGCAGACTCGGCCCGAGCACCGAGCGAGGCATCCTATCGCCACCTAAAGTCCCCACACAAAACAAAGAGGGCCTTCCCTCTGCTTCTGTTGTAAACATTTGATTTGTTAGTTTGTAATAAGCTTTCTTATAAATACAAACGAAACTCCTTTCTTCGGAAGAATCAAATTTTCACCCTACAGAAGATGGCGACCACAGTGGGAGAATCCGTTCATTCAGATGAATTGGTGGTGGCGCAGTCTGACGAAGTTGCTGCAGGGACTACTGTTGAGTCCCTTGTGATCAAATTCGAAGGGTACTTACAATCGTCCTCTTCTCGCAGCAATACATCTCGCGATGGTTGCAGAGTCGTGCGGGTGGCCCAGCCCCAAGAGGCTGAGGCAACCAAGCCTGAGGGATCTACCCAAGCCGAGGCAGGGGGTTCTTTTCCCCCCGAACCAGTTGAGGCCGAGCCGAGATTCGAGAATGCAGGTCTAGGGGCTGCTGAATGGGTCGATGAACGATCCTCGCAGACCCCTGTGCAAGAGGAATCAACCATTTGTGTCGACGCAGAATACGCCTCCGTCGTCGACATGAACGCTCCTCGTTCAAAAAGATCCAAACAGCGGCGACGAAAAGCTCTCGCTCGTCTCGAGGCGCAATCCCTCATCCCCCACGACAGCCTGAATTATTATTCAAGCTTGGGGGGAATCAACCTTTTGTGCCAGGTTCCCATTTTTGGCGAACCGCTCAAATCAGGCGAGCCTAGCAGTTTAGGCGAGCCCATCTCTTTGAGCCAGGTTCCCGATTTTGGCAAACCGCTCAAATCGGGCAAGCCTAGCAGTTTAGGCGAGCCCAACCTCTTGAGCCAGGTTTCCATTTTTGGCGAACCGCTCAAATCGGGCGAGTTTAACAGTTTAGGCGAGCCCCACTCTGTGAGCAAGGTGCTCAATTTTGGCGAACCAAGGGCACCTGGCGAACTCTGCAGTTTAAGAGGGCTTCGTCAAACAAGCGAACTTCACCAAGCTCGCCTGACGGCCCAAGATCGCCAGAAAGGCGAAGCAACAGCTCGCCAGACAGGCGCAGGCACACTGTGCCAATCTCGCCTGACGGGCGAACCTCGCCAGCATGAACCTCGCCAACACGCTCACGCCCAAATGGGGGTGGCCACCTCGTTTGCCTGCACGGGTCTGACGTCCGTCTCTAACGACGACGACGACGACGATTGCTCAGCAGTGGCAATGTCGGAGACTTCAAGCTCAGTTCAGGGCAAGCACACAAATGTGCACATGACTGACATCCCTGAGGAGATGTCTAGGAGGCTCGACGAGCAACAAGCAACCATCGACTCCCTAAAGGAGAGGTTAGAGCAGCTCTTGAGCGAGAAGAAGAGGAAGAAAGAGAGGACTTTGCGGGCTTCGCATAAATCCTTGAAGCACAAAGAGCGGGTGCCTACTCCTTCTCACTCCTCATCCGAGTCATCTAGAGGAGCGTCATCTTCGGGCCATAACCCAAGAGACAAGAGGTTTGACGACCTCCAAAGTCAACTCGACGCCTTGAAGCTCCAGAAGCATGCGAACAAGCTGGGGGTTGTCAGACCGTATCCAATTGAATGGGATGCGGTCTCCTACCCGGCAAAGTTCGAGCCGCTGGACCTCCTGCAGTTCAATGGCAAGGGTTCTCCTACCCAGCACATCTACTACTTCCAGGCGCAAACTGGACACATAGTGGGAAACGATCCCATTATGACTCGACTGTTCATTGGTACCCTCAAGGGGGTCGCTTTTGAATGGTTTCGCAGATTGGAGCCTGGGTCCATCACCTGCTGGAAGGACATGGAAAGGCTCTTCGTGGCCAGATTCTTCGATGATGACACAGAAGTATCTATGGCCACCCTGCTAACTGTGAAGCAGAGTCTATAAGCAACTTTGTCAAGAGATTCAGAAACCGATCGCTGCATTCCCGCGATCGAGTTTCCGAGGCCACGCTCATCGAGATGTGCCGGAACAATCTCTCCATCAGCGTTCTGTCCAATATGGGCGCTGTTGAAGCTCGCTCATGGAAAGACTTACTTCGTTAAGGAGAACAAGTTGAGAGCATGCTCAAGCATATGGGTGACGAAGACCCGCATGAATTTCGAGGGGATGATGACCAAGATACCTTGGTAGTGGAGACCGATCCCTCATATCCTCCAAATTTCCCCCGTTGATCCTCTTCAATAGGACGGCGGGCCCACATAGTCACTCTAATCGTGACAATCTTGTCAAGTTAACACTACACCTCTGACAATCTCCCGTCGATCCTCTTCAATAGGACGACGGGCCTACAAAGCTATCACGTTAACAATCACCTCTGATAGTTCTTCGACACTCCAACTGGTGCATGAGTTTAAACTGCTCCCTTAACACTCCGACAAGTACACGAGTATAAACTGCTTCTTCTGACACTCCAACTGGTGCATGAGTTTAAACTGCTCCCTTAACACTCCGACAAGTACACGAGTATAAACTGCTTCTTCTGATCCTCCAACTGGTATAAGAGGTTAAACTATTCCCCACACTTCCACTTCTTGAGCCAGGTTCCCAGTACGGGCGACCCGCTCAAATCAGGCGAGCCTAACAGTTAGGCGAACCCCACTTCTTGAGCTAGGTTCCCAGTTTCGGCGAACCGCTCAAATCAGGCAAGTTTAACAGTTTAGGCGAGCCCCACTTCTTGAGCCAGGTTCCCGGTTATGGCGAACCGCTCAAAACAGGCGAGACTAGCAGTTCAGGTGGGCTGCATCAAACTCCCACTTGGTCAAACCTTCAGATAGTTAGGACCAAAGCCACAATCCCCCGCCAATCCTCTTCAATAGGATGGCGGGACCCCCACTGTCACGTTAACAGTTACCTCTGACAAATCAACTTACCAGTCCTCTTCAATAGGATGGTAGGTCCATAGAGTTGCTCAAATCGCAATAAACTCCCACTGTCATGTTAACACTACACCTCTGACAAAATCAACTTACCAATCCTCTTCAAAAGGATGGTAGGTCCTCAAAGTCGCTCCGATCGCGGCAATTCCTATCACGTTAACGATTACCTCTGATAGCCGACACCGTCATTCCCGCAAATGACGTTGTCCGATCAGTCGTCATACTCATACGTCCCTGAACGATTTGATTCTCCCAGCACCGTCTTTCCCATAAAAGGCGTTGTTGTTTGATAGTGGCCTACTATGCGATGTGCTGCTATTTCAGGGTTCGTCTTTGCCCCAAGAGAAGACAAATCAGGGTTCGTCTTCATCTTTGCCCTAAGAGAAGACAAGTTTCCCCCTTACACTCCAACTGGTGCATGAGTTTAAACTGCCCCCTTATACTCCGACTGGTGCATGAGTCTAAACTGCCCCCTTATACTCCAACTGGTGCATGAGTCTAAACTGCTCCCTACACTCTTAATCCAAATGCCTCGAAAGGCTAAGGATAGAGGAGAAATTTTAGCATTGAGCCTAAAAGAAACTCCTCAACAACTTACCATGCTAAGGGCAAGAGCATGGCTAGTCCAACTCAAACGGCAGTTGGTAAAGACAAATCAAGTCCGTTGATAGCTGAGGGTTTGCTCAAAATCCTAGAAGGCGATCATCAGCTGCGAGTGAAGAGCAGGGATCACTTTACGGGACTTCATATCCAAAGTGTTCCAGACCCCATGCGGCCTGATTCAGGTCTGAAA